TGCCGCCCCCCTGCACGCCAGGACCCCACCAGAGGGCCTGTACATTGGCTCTCTTCCCCCGAGGTTGCTCCCAGGCTAGTTCTGCATCTCCTTCAGGTGCGCTCCAAGGTCACCCGCTGGGGAGGTCCACCTTGACCACCTTATTTAAGTCGCAACCTGTCCCTGAGCAGTGTGGCTCGGTTGGGCATTGTCCCGCAAAGCAAAACGCCGCCAGTTCAATTCCCATTGGTATTTCTCTCCCACATCGATGTTCCTCTCTTTCTCCCTCCCTTCCTCTCTCTCTAAAAATAAATGAAACCTTTTTTTTTTTTTTAAACTGCAATCTGTCCCTCTGGCCCACAATCCCCCTTCCTTGCTGTACTATTTTCATAGTATTTAACAGTGTCAAATGTCTCACGCATTTTTCTATGTCTGTTTCGTATCACTAGAATATATTCCAGCCTTAACTCTGGGTGATGACCCTCTTCTAACCTCTTAAAAAAAAAATAAAAAGATTTTACTTATTTATTTTTAGAGTGAGGGAAAGGGAGAGACACACCGACGTGAGAGGGAAACGTCGGTCGGTTGCCTGATTGCCGCTCGTCGGCACCCTGACCACGGGCCAAACACGCAACCTAGGAATGTGCCGAGGCCGTAGGCCAGCCGGCTACCCTTCGCTTGGTGGGAGGACACCCGACCCGCTGAGCCACACCGGCCAGGGCCTATCCTCTCTTTCTTCTCTAACTGGCCGTGCTTACCAATTTGCGGAAAAGTGTCTTTGAAGAGTCCACCTTAGCCTTCGGGGGCAGCCCGAGAATTCTGTCCTGGAGAAGACACCTCCATCCCTCCCTTGTCCCAACCCCTCGTCCAGTCAGCGCTCTGCCCAGGAGCCCTCCAGGCTCTGACACAGGTCACAGGAAAGTGGACGGGGACACCTGTGCTAAAGGGGGAGGCAGGAGGGGCGCGGAGGCAAGGAGAGACCTGCTCCCCGCCCCCGGCCACCCCAGCCTGAAAACGTGCCTTCCTCCCCACGCACGCCACAGACAGCTGCCTCCTGAGCGTTATCTTCGTGCTTGGAGTCCAGGGTTTCTGGAAGTGAATTAGGGTGTGACTTTCCTCATGTATTAATTTCCACAGAAATTGAAATTAACTCGTGGAATGCTGATGGCGATGCCCTGCTTCCTATCCGTAGGGAAGCAAACTGTTCTTGTTCACAGAGATGCCAATGAATTTTGTCCAAAGGAAAACAGAAATCTCCTCTGGTCCAATTCTCATTTGAACCTGTTGTAACATCTCTCTAGTTCTATCATTAATGAGTTAAATAAAATACTTGATATGTATTTATCTTCTATGTCGTGGTTTTACCTTTAAAAAAAAAGTTGCCCTTTAAAACTGTATAGAAGGAAAAAAATAATCTTTTTTTCTCCAACTTCTCAGATGCTTGGGTTGGGGCACTGCCAATTCGATTAACCGGACAGAAAAGTTTATTAACCTGTGTGTCGTGCATGTAACACTTGGGAGCACCCAGAGATGAGTAACTCGAAGAGGTGGCTAGAGTTTGGGCTCATATATTTGACTTAGTAGGGGAAAGGGAGGGTGAGGAAGGGAATTTATGGAAACACAAATGGCTTTTTGGAAAAATAAACGGGCCCTTAGGAAGATAGATGGGAGATATGCTAGTTTGTGACAGGTCTGTCCAGGTGCGGTGCCAGATTTCTGGTCTCCCAGAAGAGAAGACTAGAGTTGCTCTGGGGGAAGACATTTATGACGCTTAAGGTCTTTTGTGAGGCTCTTATTTCAGGCAGATAAGGAATTTCAGAAGCTCAAATATCTTTTTTTTTTTTTTTTTTTAAGAGAGAGAGGGGAGAAAAGGAAGGAGAAAGTGAGAGAGAGAAACATTTGTGTGCAAGAGAAACATCTATCTGTTGCCTCTCGCACACCCCCAACAGGGGACCTGGCTGGCAACCCAGGCACGTGCCCTAACCGGGAATCGAACCAGCAACCTTTCGGTTCGCAGGACGACACCCAGCCCACTGAGCCACCCCAGTGAGGGCTCAAATGTCTTCAGATGAAACTAATTCTTGTGCATATGCAAAGTAGCATATTTTGGGGTGGCATGTCCTGGTCCCTAACAATACTTACTTATAAAATTCATTTCTTTGTATTGTTGTCATCTCTAGCATAGTGCCGAGCACAGAGTATGTTTAAAATTTAATACATGTTTATTGACTAAAGGACTGCAGTGTTGCAAAAGAGCCTAGAAAAGACAGTCAAGGGCAACAGACAAAATCTGAAGGCCTGGAGGGCGTTTCGGGACACACCCAGCACTAGAGAAAGAGGACCCGGCAATGAATTTTCCTCATGTAAAAATGGTTCGAAGAAACGCTGTGGATGAAAGCAAAGAAAAAAAGACCATTCGAGTGTCCTATCAGGGAAGATTTCATATGGAACTAATATTGATTTTGGAGTAAAAGAACGGAGAGGGCATCTTGATGTGGAGAGGTGGAGAAGAGGGGGTTTCTAAATAGAAAAATGCAACCGGCAAAGGCATGTGAGTACAAAGAAAGCACAACTCATGTTTAAAAAGGGGAAACAATGTAACCTGACTGCACCCAGGTCTCTGAGGTGGATGAAATAGAAATTTTAAGGACTCTCGTCTGAGTCTGGTCATCACCCAGAGGTGCTGGGGGCTATGAAAGGTTTTTGAGCTGGAAAAGAGCTAATGTGAGTTTTACATTAATATTAACTTGGCATTAACTTACATTATTATATGGGGTAGATTCAAGAGGACAGAAATTCACAGCTGCCAGGCAGCTGGAAATATGAAACAGGAGCTCAAAAATATGTTGGAACCAGAGATAAGGTTACAGTAAGCATCACAATAGTGGTGTTGGTTGAAATGAGGGGCAAAACTGTACCATGAAAGTGTTTTAAGTATATGATTATTACAGTGTTTACCTTAATTTTCTCTTAATTGCCTTTCCTCTGTTTTTTTTTTTTTTTTTCTTCACAAAACTGGGTTCCTCAGGGTAGGAACTCTCTTACTCCTGCTTGCTTTCCGGCTCCACCGGCCTGTGAGCTCAATAAATGTTAGCTGAAGAAACAGACTATGCCGAGAAAGGAGAGGACGTATTTCACAGAGCAGTGGGAAGGGCAAGATACATGAGGGTGAAGAGTTTTACATAATGGAAAAAGATTTAATGGACATTTCATTGAATGGCTTCAAATCTCTGAAAGCATTTAATGACTTGCAGAGCATCACATGACTGAGGATGGGGCTAAGGGCTTAAGTAGAAATGAAACAATTTAAAACAGCTGCAGCAAAACAGAAAGAAAAAGAGAAGAAAAAAAAAGAGAGAAATACTTTTAAAAATAAAATTAAATAAAAATTAGTAAAACAGCTGCAGCCAGAAATATGCTCAGCAGAGTCCCAAAGCCCTGCGTGCCTTCGCTTGGCGCCCCTCTGTGTATCTGGGGTCCTCCTTCCACCCCTTTCCCCTGCCTCTGAGTCGACCCATCTTTCAAAGCCTAACTCAAGTGCTACCGACTTCTCTTTGACCCAGCTTCAAGTTAATCATTACTTTTTCTATGTTTGCACTTCTCTCTTTGCTGATCCTATTAGATTATAAATTACTTGAAGACAAGAAGGGGGTTTTGTCTTCTTCTTGACCGGATGGAAGCGCTCATTCCACAAATGTCTGCTGATGTTTAAATTCAATGAGTTTAACAATATGACTGCCAAGTGGCAGGGAGGAGGAACCTGAAGTTAAGGAGCTTGAACGGTGGACTAGATCAGCAAGGGTTCAAGAAATAAGGTTTGTGATGCAGGCAGAAGAAAATTCAGTAAAAACGGAGGTTATTTTTTTTTTCTGTTCAGGAAATCTAAACTTTGGTTTCCCCACCTGGGAGAATGAAGACATGAAGCTCGTGTGTATTTTATGGAAGGAAAGGACACGATTCCCATTTAATTTACTAATCTACAGTGAAATCAAAAAAAGAAAGCCCAGTAATGAAGCCCTCAGTATCAGACCTGATTTATTTTTTAATTTTTATTGACTTTATTGGGGTGACATTGGTTAATAAAATTATATAGGTTTCAGGGGGACGGTTCTATAATACATCATTTGTATATTGTACTGTGTGTTCGCCACGCCAAGGCACGTCTCCTTCCATCACCATTTATCCCGCTGAATTCTTTTTGTTAATTACAGTTGACGTTCAATACAGACCTGTATTTTAACCCTTAACTCCTACTCCTTGGCTCTCTAACCCCTTCACCTGAACTCTAAACTTGGGTAAGGACAAAACAAGTTGACATTTTTGTTCTACTTTTTCTCCTTCATTTCCGAACTTTCTGAAAGAGCAGTTAATGAGTACCGAAAGAAACACAGGCAGGACAAGGAAGCAGGAGTGTACCAGAGCAACGGACTAGACGGCTTTAGGTGGACATGTTCAAATAAGGTTCTGCTACCTGTCTGTGAAATGCAAACGATTACTTGGAAAAATTGTGCAAGAAATAAACTAGATGTAAAAGCACCTAGCACAAAGACTGTAGTGTTCTTTGGGTAAATCACATGGGAGTGGTAGAATATGCAAAAGTTAAAAGGAGGAAGGTAAGAGGGTGCTCCCCATCCTCGCCCTCTATTCCTTCCATTCTCCTCAGAGTCAACTCTTAACATCGTTATGTGTACTTGTGAATTTCCTTCACTTAGCTGTAATGATGTAACTCACATTTAAAATTCCTTGCCTATAAAATGGAATGGTTCTGAGCATTTAATTAAAAAGTATTATTTTATATTTAAGATGTTACACAAATAGGAGGTGTTATGATTCTTAAAAGAAAATCAAGGCCTAGACACTGTACTTGTAATGTTTTTTAGAACAGGTCTCTTGGACACTTAGCATCAGCCCCAGGCTTGACTGTTTGCTCCATTGGGAGTATTCCCATCCCTCACCTTGACAGCAGCAGGCGCACAAGGCGGTGACCACACTGCTTGACCCTGCCTTGGTCTGTTCCACAGGTAATCACTTACTCCAGCCATCATGTCTACAGTAACTTGACTGAGGAACAGAAGGGCCGAGTGGCCTTTGCTTCCAATTTCCTGGCAGGAGACGCTTCCTTGCAGATCGAGCCCCTGAAGCCCAGTGATGAGGGTCGGTACACCTGCAAGGTGAAGAATTCAGGGCGCTATGTGTGGAGCTATGTCATCTTAAAAGTCTTAGGTAAGATGGAGCGCCAAGGTAAATGCCTACATCTTACGAACGGAGTCTGTGCGAGGGACAGTCAAATGCATCACGGTGCTACGAAAGTTCTTGTTCAGCGTTTGGATTATATTCGGAGGTCAACCCACGCTGGCTCCCTGGGATGAAGTGGGTTCTGTATTTTAGCCACAATGAAAGAAGAAAAAATAATCACAATTTTCCATGGTGGCCCATTAAAAAAAATTAAATATCACCCTGCATGGGTAGCTCAGCTGGTTAGAGCATTGTCCTGATACACCGAGGTTGCAGGTTTGATCCCTCTTCAGGGCACATGCAAGAAGCAACCAGTGAATGCATAAATAAGTGAAATAACAAATCGATGTTTCTCTTTCTCTCAAATGAATAAAAAAAAGTTAAATGTCCTCTATTTGAATGTTATCCTTATGTTTAACTTAAATCTCCCAGGTGTGATTCAAATCCATTTGTTTGTTTTTTTAACAGCAGGAGCTCCTAAGTTCTACTTAATATCTTCCAAATTTATGAACTATCCTTGTATCAGTATTAGTAAAACCACACTTAACTTTCCCAAAATTTCCAATTAAAATGTGTTCCTTCTCTGAGAAGTAATGCTGTCGTTTCTGAGCAGCCCCTGAAAATTGCAGCAGCATCACTGGACGCGGCTGGAATTGGGTGTACGAGTGTACAAGGGGCAGAGGCGGGAGTGTTTCTGGGGGTGGTGTAGCGCATGGCTAGGTAACTAGGAATGGCTATTGAATCCTCCATTCAAAATGAACCATAAGGAATGGCCGGAGAAACAACTCCACAGGACATAATTCTCCCACGGAATCTACTGTTTGGAGACCTTTGATTCAGTATTTTTTTCCCCCTTGCCAGTGAGACCATCAAAGCCCAAGTGTGAGCTGGAAGGAAAGCTGACAGAAGGAAGTGACCTGACTTTGCAGTGTGAGTCATCCTCAGGCACGAAGCCCATTGTGTATCACTGGCAGCGAGTCCCGGAGAAGGAGGGAGAGGATGAATATCTGCCTCCCAAATCTAGGATTGGTGAGTCATCGCTCTACCAGTCTATTGAGACAACAGGACAGTGCCCTACCCATGAATTCTAAATCTGGTTTGGACAGCAACTCCCTGTCTAACCTTGAGTACACTACGGAACCTCTTTGAACTTCCATTTTTCATCCATAAACTGGGATTGTCTTTTCCTTCCTCAAATGAATTGTAAAGGTGGTAAAAGACATTAGAAAGAAATGTACCATAAAAACCTAAGGATCTTGGTTAGTATCTCTTAAATGTCCATAACCTTTTGTAACTTTTGAGGACTCCCTATAATTTAAAAGAATGCTCACCTGTCTTCCCCATTCCCAAATGGAACCTATTCTACCATCTATGCCATCCTTACCAAACTGCGTTAGACAATCCTAGGTCAATGATGTAATAAAGGAAACAATACACGTAGACCCCGTCACCAAGGGCAGTGTGGCCGTTCGTTCTGTCCGTGCAGACAGCAGCCACCCCGGGCGCGTCCTGCTGCAGAACCTCACCATGGCCTCCTCTGGACTGTACCAGTGCACTGCAGGCAACGAGGCCGGCACGGAGAGCTGTGTGGTGCGGGTCGCTGTGCAGTGTAAGTGTCCAAAGCGCATGCTTTAGTTATCTTTTTGCACTGTGGTTCAGTGTAAAGCAGGTTGAATTGCGAATCAGAGTAAAGTCAAGTAAAAGTCTTCACTTCAAGGGCCATGGCTATCAATAAAATAAATTCAGTCATTGCAGGGAGGACTCAACAGTTATGGTTGTCTACGGCCATACCACCCTGAACGTGCCTGATCTCGTCCACAGTTCTAGTTAATTCTGTATTTATAATTATGCGTGAATTTACCAGCTCCCTAAAGCCACTTATTATATTTAGGAGGTGACCAAACGGAGATTTCCTTTACAAAGGGGTAACTTCCATTTTCAGAGCTTTTCCTGTCTGAAGTTTCTCAGAAATAATCAGCTTAAAATAATCTTAAAGTCATGGGGGCCTCCTGTGGGTGGCATATTCTGCTATCCTTCACCATCAAGCAGGTAGTCAAGCGCCAGGAGGGGGTAAATGAGGAGCTCAGGAAGAGAGAGCTAAAGATCTGGAAATACTCATCCTGTCCAGGGTTATGGTTTTTAGGTTCACGCATTTCCTAGCTTATGCTTCACTTTGTTCCCGCTTTTGTTTCTGAGAAAACAGATGCACAGAGCATTGGCGTGATTGCAGGAGCAGCGACAGGCATGGTGGCCGGAGCCCTGCTGATTTTCCTCCTGGTGTGGCTGCTGGTCCGAAGGAAAGACAAAGAGCGCTACGAGGAAGAGGAGAGACCTAATGAAATTCGGTAAACCTCCCTCCACAATCTCCTCTTCCACTAGGCTTCCCCTCTGGGGCCAGCTCCATAGTGACCAGCTGACGTAAATTCCCCTCTTCCTTAACCAGCCCTCTAGTAGGTCAGGCGCTCCAGCCTAGGACAGAAGGTCTGGCTCACCTTGACTTTATTGTGAAACCCTCCATCCTCAGCATAGACCGAGGAGATCACTCCCTTGATGTTCTGATCAGAATGCGTGCCTGACTCTGATCCTGAAAACGTCAGACCCAGATTGAGAGACTTCGTAAACACTGGCCTTTACTCAGTAAAAATGCTGAGGTCCAGAAGGACAAGGAAAATTCGGGGAAGTACTGTAGCCTGAGACTAAAGAGGCCTGACAACGGAATGCAGTGCATGATCTGGGATTTTCCTTTCTGTGAAAGACGTTACTAGGGCAATTAGCAAAATCTCAATAAGGTTGGTAGCTTAGCTGATAGTGCTGTACCGATGTTGATTTCCTGATTTTGATCATTATGCTGTGTTTATAGAAGAGAATGTACTGTGTTTTTAGGAAATACTAAATGTTTGGGGGGAAGAGAGAAATTAACTTTACATTACTTCCAATTCACTTCTGCTCACAAAGGGCATCGGGCACAGCCTATGGGCCACGAAAGGGTCCCCTGACAAACCCCACAGCAAGGGGCGTGCAGTCCAGCCCTCTGGGCTGACGAAGGGGCCATTTGCCCAAGCCCCACATTCAGCCTCGGGAAATGGGGCAGTCCCTAGCTCCCCAAGTGACAGCTGAAGTTCGTTAGGGGGCCTCAGAGGGAAGCGCCCCTAGTGGACGCGGTCACAGCCTTACAGCCCGCATTTCATTTTACCCTCGCTGTCTCTCCTCCCCAGGGAGGACGCCGAGGCGCCCAAAGCCCGCCTGGTGAAACCCAGCTCCTCGTCCTCGGGCTCCCGGAGCTCGCGCTCGGGCTCCGCCTCCACGCGCTCCACCGCCAACAGCGCCTCCCGCAGCCAGCGGACACTGTCCACCGAGGCGCCGCCGCGGCCGCGGCCGGCCGCCCGCGCGCACGGCCGGGCGGGGCCCGAGGCGAGGGGCGCTGCGCCGGAGGACCCGCGCCCTGCCGCCGCCGCCGCCGCCGCCGAGGCCGAAGCTGCCCCCGGGATGGGCCCCGGCCGGAGCCGGCCCTTCCAAACTGTCTGAATTACGGTGCGCCTGGACGCCCAGGCTGCCCTTGGAGTCAGCATCTTAGGACTTCCCTAGCCGCCACAGCCCAGTCACCAGCCACACCATCCCCCCAATCTTATGAGAGGTCACCTAGTAGCTGGGAGCTACTCATTTGCACGGGACAGGTGCAAATGAGCACTCTCCAGAGAGGACACAGAACAAGGGTGTGAGGCCATCATCCCGAGGCGGCCTCTCCTGCCTTCAGCCGAGAGTCAGGAAAGCAGGCTCTCCGTGGAGCAGGACCTGCGGTGAGAAAGGCGAGGAACGAGGAGGGGAGCCCCTAAAACTTCTCATCTGCGATGTTTGTGTCAACACTTCAATGCAGGGTGGTCAGGAGGAAATGAGGTGTTGCTCATAGATTTTCTATGCCTTTCTGCAAACTGGATTATTGTGGTTATCCAGAGAGTCAAGCAGAACCCACAGCCTTACAGTACACCTTTCTGCGCCGTGTCCTGGGGTTACTACTTCTGAGAAACTCCACAAAAGGAACTGTCTCTTCTATTCTGCCTTGACTTCATTTGCCATTAGGTTTGGATATAAATTTCAAGAGGAATTGAAATAATGGAACACAGAGGAGAATAATTGAGTTCCTCCCACTCTACCTACCACTAATTGCCCCCTCCTTATAATCGAACCGTAAGAGAACTAAAAAAAGAGTCCAAAGTGTGTGACAGGGGACTGTGAAAAACTTCTCATCCTCATGATGTTCAGAAGGTCACTGACAAATGTCAAGAATGTATACTGGAACAATTGTGGGTTTCTCCTCAAATCAGATGTTCCTAAGGACTTCCCTGCCAGATATCTCTGGAGCAAGAAAACATTCACTCTGTGTCATTTAACTATGTCCTTATAAAGAAGTCTTACCGTGAAACAGATCTTTTAAAGATGCTGAAAGACCATCTGACATACCATTATAGTTTTTCTGAGAACACACATAACCAGAATTTCAAGACTACTAGACGAGAGAGGGAGATTAGACCAATTTTCTTAATGGGTCACAGAATGGTATAAGGAAGTTTAGAATGGCACCAAACTTGCAGCTGATTCATTTTAGAAAAAGGATATGAACCCGGGACTTTTGATGATTCCAGGCCTTAAATTATCAGGAAGATCGGGCTGGCCAACATTTCCCAATAACGATGCATGTCAAAATCATTCCTGCCTTAGAAGTTGAGAGAGAGAGTTTTCAGTATTTTACCAGCTTAACCTCTAAGGAGGTCTAGCTCTGGGGTACAAAAAAATGGAATTAACACTTGGGGAAAAGATAGGATAACTAGTGAGTGGCAGGAAAGGTCTGGGTTAACGCCCATTAATGTTTTAATTGTCAACATCTTGGAGAGAATTAGCAGATATGATTCACCAAGATAGTTCTCAGAAGAGCTGATTCATGGGAGAAGAAAGATGTCTGAAAAATTTAAAAAACAAACAGCAACCTCCAATACAATAACTTGCTCTTCTAATACTTTTGACTACTCTGCCACTCTAATTCATCCTATGGCAAGAATTCAAAACCTGAAATAGCCCTTCGAGGACCCAGTCACGGGTAGAGAGAGATTTATTATTACAAGGGCAGCAAGCTACAGGGAAGAAACAGTGATGCTGCATATGGTGAAAGCACCACTTCTAAAATGGGAGCCAGATGCTTGCAGGGAAAAGGTTGACCTGGGATTGTGCCCCATTTCTCTGGTTTTCCATTTACACATTCAATTCTTCCAAGGGTCGGCACAGAGGGCAAACACATTTCCTTATGAAGCCCTGTAAGAAATAGGGCTTTATCCTGGGGTGAAATTTTCATTTGACTTTTGTCTTACTCTAAAAAAAGTTGGGAAATGAGAAACATGGAGGAAGTAGTGTAAAGAATGTCTGGTGTTTAACTGAAGAGGGCTGGCCTATTTGGAGTGTTTCTTATACTAACACTGCCTCATTGTAAGAAATAAAATCCCTTCCTTTACTTTATTCTTCTAGTAGTGGTACCCAGCAACGTATCACTGCTTCTGCTACATAACGCTGAGAATTCTCATTCCCAGAGTCCCTGAACCAAACAAGGACACTATGGAGGCTGCAGCTCTACTGCCACTAGCAATTTTATTGTGATCATTATTTTCTACCTTTGAACCGAAGGTTTCCTCGCCCATGCCTTTGAAAGTAGGGATCGGTCTTTGAATAAAAATGTTTAGGTTATTTAAACATACAGTTATCAGAAGACTGAAATACCAGTTCAATAATCCAAATTATTTATTTTGGAAATCTATTCACAATAAAAATTTACAAAGAAGTCACAAATCTGGTAACTACCTACAATCTGAGAAATTCTAGGGCTTGAAGATTCCAAAAGATGCTGAAGTCTTAGCAATGGCAACGTACTTTTCTTTGAGTCAGGGTTTTGGGTTCAGATATAACAGGATCTGGGCTTGAGACAAGGTTGGAGCCACTGCTGGTTTCAAACCACATTCCATTAACTTTGCAAGTAAAATAAATTTGATTCTTGAATATGAAACAAAGGGTAAAATAACCAAATGACAGAAGAAAAATGTTTGTAGGAAGAAGATACAAACAGAATGATGTGAATGTTTAGAGAACAACCATTTCAATAAAATATATAAACCAAACTTAAAACTGTAAATTAATGAAGTTGATGCCTTTGTTGTTGCACTGTATAAAACCAAGTTCAGAATTGCTGTTGCAAAAAGACATAATTCTGCTTCATTTCTGTTATGCTGTTTATATTTCAATCTTCTAAGTTGCCTTGTAATCGGGACTTTGATCACAAAAACCAAATATTTATTACAGATGTGTTTGTATCAGCAATTGAAAAATAAATAAGTAAAGGTGATACTGCAGGAGAGGCTGAAGCTCATGTAACCTACACTGGAAATTTGTTCATTAGCTTTCTGCCAGCTGAAGATCAGAACTCAGACTGAATGTGATCTATTATTTATTGATTTCAGTCACAAATATAGCAAGTATGTACTTCTCACGAGCAAGATGCTAAGCAGTATTTGGAGATTCCAAGTGACGAGAATTCATGCTAGGCTTATCAAAATAACAGTATTTACTAAGCAAGTCTTTTATTGCAAAGTAAAAATACCAAGAGACAAGTAAACCCTAGGGATTCAAATAAATCTGAAGGAACTTCATGGAATTAAATGAGGTAATACGCACAAAGCACTGAGAACAGTGCCTGGCATGCGGCAGGCATTCCAGAGCGATCACAGCAACCCTCCTCCCCAGGGAGAAACCGTGGCCTCAGACCCCGCCACTGACGCCACTGACGCCACTGACGGCCCAGCTTCCACTGTAGATACTACACGTGCTTGAGACCCTGTGCGTTTAAAGAGGTGGAGACAGGACATCCACCATAGCCTTAACTTGAAATACATCAATCCACATTCTATTTCATAAAAACACAGTCTCGGTCTTGAACGCATTTTGAGAGTGATTAGAAACAGTGGTTATCTGTTCCACTTTCTGTAATCATTGCCGTTGGGTGGGTACCCCCAACCGGTGGACTTGGGCCCCAGTTCTATTTTCCAATGGCCCAATAATTAAAATGTTGTAGGTAGTTCAGAGACTGCAAAAGCTGCAAAGTACAGGGTGTAGTCCAGAGTAGTGCTTAATAATAATAAACTGGGTGTGAAAAGGAAGATTGCAGGTACCAAGGGAAAGGGAAAGCAGCCTGCCGCAGCTCACTGCTGCGTCGCCGGGGTCGGAGCCACGGCGTTTCTGGAGAGGAAAATGCGCTACGGCGTAAAGAACAGAAAAGACCGAAGAGTCTGGAATAAAGGGAGCGAGGTTTGACTGCAGCTCATCTAGTTGTTTCCCACACACGACATCTCTGACCCTCATTTTTCTAACACAGAGATGAATAATATCTCTCAGAAAATTGTTTCAATGATTAAATGAGGTAACAAAGGAAAGCAACACTTGTCAAAGCCTCATATAAATGTAACTTCTTGAGAGGTGGGGGAGAAGTACCTGCCTGTATGGGATGAAGCCAACATTGCCCCGCACAAGGCAAATCCGACAGAAAATTTATGTTTGAATCCGTGTGTAGGCCTTACCTACCGGCCTGTCAAGGACAACGTGCCCTGCCCGTCTGAAAGAACACGTTGGGAAGCTCTCAAGGCACCGAGAAAGGCTCTTAGCGTGACAATGCCGAAATTTAAATACTATTGTTCGGTGCACTCGATCAGTACTGTTTTCACAGCGTCTCTGCACAGTATTTCCCTTAGTTTTTCATGAAAGTGGTGGCAGGGAAGATACTACCTCACTTAATAAGAGGCCGCAAGTCTAACCCAAGGACACGGAGCTACAGGAACCCAGGTCCCTAAACGCCTGGCTCACCCACAGGGAAAAAGCTCGCTGCCTTTCCCCTTCCTAAAAATTGCCAGGGGCTGAGCCCAGAAGCCGAACTTGTCCTGCGCGGGGGAGTGGCGGGGTCCGGAATCACAGGATCGGGCCCTGGGGCTGGGTGGTGGGGGAGCGTGGTGAGAAGTCAGGCCCCTTGAATTTCTGCAAAGGGGGCTGCCGGCCCCTAGCTGCCACAATGGAGGGAGGAGGGTTCTGGGGCCTGCCTGGCTAACCTGTCCCACCCTGCGCAAACGCTCAGACAGCCCCCAGACACCACCTCTGGGTGCCCCCGGGTAGGTTACTCTAAAGCACCCAGGGGTCGGAACCTGCGTCCGGGCCCTTGGGGCCAGCCCTAGCCCGAAGGCACGCCAGCTAGAAACGCGGTTCGGTGGGAACCGGCAGGGCGTGGAGGACCCTCTGCAATGCCTGGCGGGGCTGTGGGGAGAAAAACGAGGTCCCGGGTGGGGGAGGGGCGCAACAACCTTCGCGGCCATTTTGTCCTAGCTCAACTTCCGTCTTCTCTCCCCAGCGCCGGTCCGGGGCCCACCCTTTCAGCCCTGTACCCTCCCTTCCCCGGTACCGTCTCGACCCAGATCGCGGACAGTGCCGCCATCATTGGTCGCTTCCAACTTCGCCCGCCTTCTTCCTCCTTCTCCTCCTCTCGACCCCCGCCCGCACTCTCGGGGGGGCGCAAGCGCAGAAGCCGACGCGCCCTTCCCCCGCCCGGGGTGACTGAGGACTCCCGCGCGCGGGCTCCCTCGGCCCCACCCGCCCTTTCCCCGGGGCCCTTCGGTGAGCGGGGGCGAGAATGAAAGTTCCAGAACGCTGCGGGGAGTGCGTCATCGCGAGGCGGAGTGGGGTGGGATGGGATGGGGGCAAGGCCCAGGGGCAGAGCCGCGGTAGTCATTGGGGCTTGTGGAGGCAGCCGCGCGCCCATTGGCCGAGCAAGCGTTGACGGGCAGCCGGCAGGGCGGACCCCTTCTGGAAGGTTCTGAGGCAGGGTATAAGAGACAGGGTGGCAGGCGGAAACCGGTCTCATTGAACACTGGGGAGCTGTCCTGATTCGGGTCTCTGCGAGCTCTGCGCGCACTCAAGGTAAGGCAGCTGTCCTTCCAATCCTCGGTCGTTTGTCAGACCTCCGGAGAAGCGTGCGTTCCGGCCGCAGCCGAGCGGGTTTGTGGCGGCCCGGAGAGGCCGAGTGCGGTGAGCTTTCTGCCTCCCCGGGAGCTTTGTTCCAGGCGGAGGCAGTGCCCTGCGCCGCCGCCGCGTGGGGCCGGGGCCGTGTAGTGCCGGTGCGGTGGCCCGCACCGCGCGGAGCCAGGGGAGGTCGCGTCCGCTTTCCGGGCTCCGGAAGCGGAGCGCCCGGCAGCCGCCGGTTCTGGGGCGAGGCTCGTCCTGCCTAGGCAGCTCTCGCTGGCGTGCGCCCAAGGCGGGGGAGGGGGCCTCCGAGAGCGCTACGAGCTCGGGCCCTGCTGGCTCCTGGAGCCCCCAGGCTGCGGAAGTGTTGGGAGGGGCGTGAGGTGCGGCCTGGAGCTGGGGACCACGTGGTCGTCACTGTCGCAGATCCTCCGGGCAGGTGTTCCTTTTAAGCCAGGGGCGAGCTCTGCTCCGTTTGGCGCGGCCACCTGGACTGCACAGCATCGTTATTTGCTCAGGTCCTCTCGCGTGGTTACTACCCGTAAGGGTCGTGTTTAAGGGGATTACTCAGTGGTGGTTCTTGGTAGTCTGATTTGACATTTAACAAAGAGGAAGCTCTTAAGTCCCTAAACGTTTCTTTTCCCAGCAACCATGTCTAAGGGACCTGCAGTTGGCATTGATCTTGGCACCACCTACTCTTGTGTGGGTGTCTTCCAGCACGGAAAAGTGGAGATAATTGCCAACGATCAGGGAAACCGAACCACTCCAAGTTATGTCGCCTTCACTGATACCGAACGACTGATTGGTGATGCTGCGAAGAATCAGGTCGCTATGAATCCTACCAACACGGTTTTCGGTAAGTCCCTAATTTTAAATAAAATTATAGCATAAAATGGGTTAGGCTAGGAAGGGTGTAATTTGAGAAACTGAAGTTTTTTCGAGAGGGAAACAGCAAGGTGTGGTTGTCTCTCGCGCGCCCCCAACTGGGGGCCTGGCCTGCAAAACAGGCGTGTGCCCTGACTGGGAATCGGACTCGCGATCTTTCTGTTCGCAGGCAGGTGCTCAGTCCAGAGAGCCACACCAGCCAGGGCAGAAGATACTGAAGTTTAAATGATGCGGCAGCTGGGAATTGGGAAAATCGTTTAAACCTTAAATGAACTAGGCTTGAGCCATAATCCTTTGACAACTGCTTAGGCTAAAAATGCAATGGATTTTAGGATATCAGAAAATTTGAATATAAACTGCTGAGCAGAAGAAAGCTGAAATCATTTACTATAGACTTGGGCTGATAAAAGCATCTTAGTATTAGAATAATGGAGAGCTAGATTGTTTGGAAAGATGGGTGAGAAAATTGAAGATTTGGGGTTGCATTTGATGTTTTGCAGATGCCAAACGCTTAATTGGACGTAGATTTGACGATGCTGTTGTCCAATCTGATATGAAGCATTGGCCTTTCATGGTGGTCAATGATGCTGGCAGGCCCAAGGTCCAAGTAGAATACAAGGGAGAGACAAAAAGCTTCTATCCAGAAGAGGTGTCATCTATGGTTTTGACAAAGATGAAGGAAATTGCAGAAGCCTACCTTGGAAAGGTGAGTAATGCGGTGTTAACAGGGAGAAGACAGCTGGAGATTGGAACACTACATCCCAAGTTCCCTCTAGTGAATGGGTAATTTGGCTTTTGACCAAAGATAATACAGTAGTAAAGAGAAACTGGCCGATTTATTTCACTAGAATGTTTTCTGTAACTTACTGTACCTTTTGAGTACATGTTCCAGTAGGTATGATCATAGGACTGCAGCTATGTGTATGAAGTGACCGTAATGGCTTGGCTTCAATTTCTTTGTTTCCTATTTTCTAGACTGTTACCAATGCTGTTGTCACAGTACCTGCCTACTTCAATGATTCTCAGCGTCAGGCTACCAAAGATGCTGGAACTATTGCTGGTCTCAATGTACTCAGAATCATCAACGAGCCAACTGCCGCTGCTATTGCTTATGGCTTAGACAAAAAGGTAACTGCCGTTTATTATGTACGTCTGATGGGGTATTTGTTTTGGGGGGGTTTTATAAAAGGTTTTTACATATGTGTACTTTAGTTGGGGGCGGGGAACACTGGTGTAGGCGAGGTACATTATGGTTTGCCTTTTACGCTCCCCGAACTGGGGACTTGGCCCATGGCCCAGGCATGTGCCTTAACTGGGAATTGGACTGGTGAACTTCCGGTTTGCAGGCCAGCACTCAATC